TAGAATCTATATATTATTTCTCTGATACTAAAAAAAAGGGCTGGTATAGCATTATATGTATGTAGAAGAGACCCTTCAAATGACCAATATTTATTAGACAAATTATCAAAAAGAATTAGAGAAATAAAATCTGTAGAATTGGAAATAAAAATCAAAATCAACAGATGAACGTAAATTTTCAATATATTGGAAATATAAAACAATAAATAGTGGAATACATCAGATTAAATATTGGAATGCAATAGACTATAAAATAATAGGCCATATAGAAAAAATTCAATAATAAATATGAATATTTCGAATTTAATAAATAACCAAAAAACCCGTCATATGATGGTTAAAAATAATTTTTTCATGCACTACATATTTATTATTTTAATAAAATCAAACATCTTATTTATTGGGCAAATTATCAAAAAGAATTGGAAAAATAAAGTTTGCAGAATTGAAAATAGAAATAAAAATCAACAGATGAATGTAAATTTTTAATGCATTGAAAATATAAAAAATAAATAGTGGAATGCATCAGATTAAAAATTAGAACGCAATAGACTATAAATAGGCTATATAAAAAAATTCAATAATAAATATAAATATTTCAAATTTAATAAATAAATAACAAAAAAAAACCCATCATCTGATGGTAAAAAATAATTTTTTTCATGCACCACATATTTATTATTTTAATAAAAACAAACATCTTATTTATTGGACAAATTATCAAAAAGAATTGGAAAAATAAAGTCTGCAAAATTGGAAATAGAAATCAAAATCAATAGATGAATATAAATTTTCAATACATTGGAAATATAAAACAATAAATAGTGCAATACATCAGATTAAAGATTGGAATGCAATAGACTATAAATATGTTGTATAGAAAAAATTAAATAATAAATATGAATATTTTGAATTTAATAGATAAGTAACCAAAAAACCCATCATCTGATGGTTAAAAATAATTTTTTCATGCATCACATATTTATTATTTTAATAAATAATTGGAGTATAGGATCAGCAAATAAAACATTCAACTTTATCAAGATCCTCATCTTCAGAGAATATGCTAATTTAATTTACCTTAGGTGTCCCTTGGTAGCTATGGATGCATCTGGCTTTCTGTTCAAAAGCCTTGGACTCAAAGTATTCAAGCCAAGCGCGGCAGCATCCTGCAGCAATTCATCAAAACAATATAATTACATATTTTTAGTTTTAAGTGAAAATGATAAATTAATAATCATAAAGTTTACCATGCTCATGACACTGGTAAAAAGGGTTCTATCATATGTTATTAGAAATTAGGAGTTAAGCCGTCGATTGCTATAGGTTGAAAGTTGTAAAACTGCTGTGATCTTTACTGTTAATTAAATTTCACTCTAGCATGGCACCATAAAACTCTAGGTCTAGGAATTCTCCATCTTTTGGTGCTATGAATCATCTCCACGAAGCATTCATCTAATATGTAGCTAGAGCACTAACTTGAATGCATCCAAGAAAAAGAGCATCTCATTAACCCATAGACTGAAAAATATACCTGTGTACGCAAATCATCTGGACCCAGTTTTGCTCGGAGGATTTTCAAAGTTGTTTGTTCATGTTGGACACTCAAAGGGTATGCTTCCATCAAAGACAATGCAATTGCAATAGCATGGTAACTTGCTGCTGTCTGGTGAGGTTAAGAAAAGAAGGAATTTTTTTCAAAAGGTTTTTTAGACAAAAAGAGCAATTTTGAAGGATATTTAATAATATCATAAGATGACATTCAGTGATCAGCAGAAAAATAAAGAACCAAACCTGAATATGATCTGGACCAAGTAATTTTTGGTTACATTTCAGAGCTTTGTGAAGATATCTAAGGGCAATATGCACATTGCCCATGCCTTCCTCCATCATAGCAGAGTTAATGTACGTTGCAGCAGTATTCGGATGAGATGGACCACATGTAAGATGTAAAAGATACAGAGCACGATTTACATATCTATAAACTACAATGGATGTCTACTTTGTAAAGTCAGTGGAAAGATTAATACTATGTAAATGTAACTACAGTAATCTCCAAAACTATTTCTTTAGAAACTTTACAAAAAGCAGAAAACAAAAGACTAGGTGCTAAAAGTTAAACCTAGAAGGAGAAAAACTTTGGTTTCAGCATCATGCAAAAATAATTAGAAACATGATTTTTAATAAGAAATTAGATTCGGCAGCAATTAGATTTTTTTTTTCAATTCAACACATAAACATAAACATAAGTTTATGAATTTTTTTTTAATAAGAATTTAGGAAAATGGATCATATAAATGAATTGAATTAAATTGATTGATTGAATAAAAAAAAAAATAGGTGCAATGTGAAAAGGAGATGCAAATGCCTATAGGGAACAATGAAGTTTGAGAACTCAAATGTTGAAACTCATTTAAAACAAACTAGTTAATCAGGCATAGTGATGCAATAGATATTACCTCATTTATCTCAAAAACATCAATATCATCGAGTTCAAGCCCTGCAACTTTAACTGCAGTTGGAATTGCAATAGTTGGGCCAACACCCATGATGGCAGGATCCACACCAACTGCAGAAAAAGTCCTACAAGATCAAGTAGTAATAGATATCTCAATTTACCAATAGTTGACTAACTGGATGATTGACTTTATAATCTATTCAGCTCACTCAATAATATTTTGCTTGCTTGAAGTTTACCCAATATATTTATAATCTAGGAAGTGCATGTCTTCAATGCAATTTAACCACTTAATCTAGTCACTATTCATATTTTTTCATGTAAAGCAACAACACTTAAATAAAACCAACTTTTTGTGCATGTTCTAGTAATGATTAGAACTCCGCTTAACTTCCAGAATTGGTAAATGCAAATCCTATTTTACAATGTTTATGGGCATTGATCAAAGCTATCTTACTAAGATTGTCCAAGAAATTTAATTGCTCAATATGAAGCAGAAGTAGCAAAATACTAATCAAGGGGAAGAGCATAACGACATGGAATTGATCAATAGAGCCAAAGCCTAAAAAAAAAAAAAAAAATGGTATAAGTTACCTGTAGTATGACATTCAAGTAAATACCATATAATCAAGAAAGAAACTTGATAACATAAGTTTGTTTATAATGGATGACAGTAATATAAGGATGACTAAATTCAAGAAAATGAGTTACAGACCTTGATATGTGCTTGTTATGTTTGATGCAAAAAGAGGACCTAGCTCCTTTCCATCTTTTTTGACAAATAGCCGCTACAAGATGCATTGATAGAAAGAGAAAAAGACATAATGTTAGGTTCAACCATATTCATGACTCAGAAATCAAACTTTGTTCAGAAAACACTAAATCTACGTGCTATGAAATAGCAAAAGTAAATGTGAAAAAATAGATTTTAATGCCACAATAACAATAGAACTAAATGTGTACTTCTCTTTTGGTATTAATAGAACTCAGATCCTTTTTGTTTTTCCTACTACTACTACCACTCATGGGAGGGATAATAAAAAAACAGCATAACCTCATGTTTGAGCCCTCTCTTTGATTGGTCGCAATCCCAAAACGGGCTTCAGAAGTAGAAGAGACAACCATAACCCAAGCAGGAGCCTAAACACAAACAACCCCAATCTCCTCCTTTTTGAAATCCACAACAAATCCAAATCTTTCTTGGGTTCAGATTGGTCTTTTCGATCAATGCTTGCAACCAGAAATCAGCATCAACACAAGAAAAGAACAGAAAAAGGGAAAAACAGCAAAGCAATGATCAAGAAAAAAGAAAAAAAGAAAAAAAGAGGGCTGCAGTGGTTTGTTAGATCCGGCATGCAAGTCGTCCGACAGCCATGGGAGGGATTCGGCAGCATTGAAGGAGAGAAAATGATGAAGATCGACGCTTCATGATTTTTTAAAATTGAATATGAAACAGGGCCTGCACTTATTTCATTCAAATAAAAATATAACCTTGCTTTTGTGGTAAAAATGGCAGCATTTGATTGAATCTCACCTTTTGCTGATCTCTCTCTTGCGTTTCTTTTCAAGGTTTGATCAGTTTGTTTCTATTTTCCTTTTTCAAACAAAATCTATCACTAAACCACGTCTCTAGCTGTGAGTCTATAGTACCTAAAACAAAACAAGGTAAGGGAATTAAAAATTGTATATATATATTAAATAAAGAAAAAAAAGTATCTAATTAGTGGATACTTCATGTCCGAGAAATAGTCCCTATTAATTAAGTTGTTTAACAATTTTCTGTTTTGATTAATTTTGCTGTAGTCACCTGATACTTTTTTTTAAAAAATTTTATATTAAAAAATTAATTAAAATTAAAGATACTTTATTAATTGACACATATGCCAAACAAATCATGCTGTTTTCTCCTATCATTAATTTTGCAACTTTTCCCTTCTCCTTTTTATCTCCCATTAGGTTGTTACTTGTGTAAATTTTATTTTTTTAATGACTTGTACTTTAAAAATGTAAATTAATAGTGTATTTATTTTTTTATCTTTAATTTATATAAAAATTATGAAAATAAATTTTATTTATAATATTAATTCTACGTAAAATAATTTAATTAGGTAATTAATAAAAATATAAATTAATTTTTTTTATATAAAATAATAATAAAAATATATAATAAATTCACTCTTAACGTATCTATAGGTTAAATTTTTTTTTCTTAAATTAGTGTGAATCATCTTTTTGGTGTCTTTGATTAGAGGTAGAAAAGATGAATTTAGAATTTTATTGAATGATGACAAAGTTATATACATAACATGATTGAGTGATCAAAAGTCTCATTTTGTTTGAAATGTACCGATTACCCCTCGTGTCAGGATCAAGACAATAGATTTGCATGGAATTACCTTTTTGAATATGAAGATGCATTATTAAAAGATATTGAAAGGTAAAAGGTGGGCAACATGAAATTAATAAAGCACATATATAGGGATGAGATAAACACAAATTAAATTGCAAATTAATTAGTGCGATTACAGATTTAGAAGAGAGAGAGGGAAAAGGAACCCTTGCTTTTGACTTAGACAATGACTTTTGGAACAATAACATATTCATCAAAGGCACAGTATTATTCCATTGCTTGCATGGCCGCTAGACGTGTACATGCCAAGCAAATCACACTAGCTACAGACACACTCAGGAGGAGGAAACATCCAGTTCATGCAAATACAGTTTGTTAAACTTGATTGGAGCCCTTCATATTCTGCTTGTTGGTTTCCTCAGTATTGCCTCCTTCCTTCTTCACCTTCTGAGCTTCCACAATCCCACCATTGTTGTGATCGGTGGTCGGCTGAGGCACTACTGTGCTCAGCTCCGAGCCGACGACCATTGTGCTTTGTTTCGCCATGTCAACGATGTGCTCTGCTATCTTTGGCTGTTCAACCGCCTGCTTAGGTCTCTTCCTGTAGATGGCATAAAGGATCATCTGAAGAATTCCAAAATGAAATCCTACGACGTTCGGAATCTGGTCGACATAATGCCACAGAGAAGAAAAAAGGCATTAAAATATAGTCTTAAGAGAATAGAGTTAAATATTAAGCAAAGCTTATTAAGTAACGTACGGCGATGTTCAAGTCCTTCAACAAAAGGCCATAGAAGAACCACATGACTGCGCCTAATGTGAGGAAAAGTGATAAGTAAAATGGCATGAACTCGACACTCTTTGTCTTTATAACTTT